GTACGAATCTGTGGTGTGATTTCTCCTGGTTTTCCAGAGAAATGAGATGCTCAGCACATATAAAAGAGCAATTTATGTCCTTTCGCCGCCTCGCTCCCTTGCTGATGTCTGCATCCTGGGCGCTGAAAATGTGGTTGGTTAGTTTTTAAGTATGCTCCCCAGCACAGAAAGTTGCCTACGTATGCAACAAAATGGGTTGTCCAAATTTTGAAATGGGCTGACCTGGAATTTGCCTTTTATGTCCCTTTTGTAAGCTAACGTGGATGATGAGATGTCCGTCATATTCTTTTGGATTTCTGCCCTTGGTTGCTGGCAGCAAAGAAGACATCCCATCGCACATTTTAGCTTCCAAGTTGGTACAGGGGAAACCGGATGATGAGGAAGATGCCGAGAGGTTGCATTAAGCAATGCTGTATCTCCCCTGCTGAGCTCGAGTTTACTGATTTGCACTTTGTTAAAAGAAATCCTTGAAAAGTGAAAGTGAAGCCATCCCGTTTCTTTTGATTCCTGAGTGATCGCCGCTCCTTTTGTGGATCTACAGGCACAGCAGGAAAACCTGGTTGCCCCTTTAAAAAGGAGGAATTCCCTGGCTCTTGCTGATTTTGTATTGAAGCCCACAACAGCAAAATTGAGACAGATTTCTCAGCGAGATAAAAAACGATAAACGGGCAAAGGAGTGAAAATGTTTTCTATCATGTTTTTATAATGCACACGAGACACACCTGCACAGAGTTTTCTACCACCGCATTTTTATGAATTACATTTGCTTTATGCGTTGACCTGTCAAGCTGGGCTCTAAGAATGGCGCAGCCTCCATTGTTATAAATGGAGAAAGAGAGAGAGAGAACACGTGCAAAGAAGCAGAAGAGAGGGAAGGGCCAGGGAACCGGGAACACACGAGCATTTTTGTTTTCTGACTCCTTTGCCTATTTATTTATTGGAGGGGAGGGGAAGATATCAAGAGTGTTAGTTAAGCCTGTTCATTTGCTGTTTTATGCCTCAGAGAGCGAAAGTGAAACATCCATTATTTTTATGAGAAGATGCTTCCTAAAAATTCAACACTAGGGGAAAAACAAGGAAACCACCATCGTCACATCCTTAGTTACATCATAACTCAAGACTAATGTGGTCTGACAAGAACCACTTGTTGGACTGGCAGCTTTCTAAAATTGGGGAGGGGGGAGTAAAGGAAAATGAAGGGGGAAGGGCTCTACTGACTCTTTGGCAAGGTAAGACAGATGCTGGCATTTGTTCCTGAGCAAGAAAGTGCGTCCGCTTCCCTCCCCGACTCGTCCAGGAACAAACCTCCTTCCCATCCAAGGTGCTACGAGGACCGAAGCAAACTTCATCCAAACCCCAGCGGTGGGTGGAGCACAGCTGCCCCGCGACCCGGTATTCTGGACCAGGAGACCTGTTGGGAACCTGAAGCGTCTTGTTTCCTTGAAGGCCTACATCTGATTGGACTTGGGGAGGGGACGCCAAAGGGGAGAGAGAACTGGGCATGTTGGTGGAACATGGACTTCAGGTTTCTTTGCCAAACCGAGAGGAAGCTGGCATGGAGTCACGCGATGCCAGGAGGCGTCCATCGAAGAAGGACGTTGGTTGTACATGGGACTCCTCTAGCAGAAAGGAAGAATCTCAACACTTTATATGCAGAGGCAGGGATTTCACCCTCTGTCTGTAGACTGACGAAACGTTTCCCCTTGAATGCAGATACAAAGGATTTTCTTTTCAAGATTTCTGCTTCCCCATCCTCTTTGAAAATTTAAGGAAAACAAAAACAAAGCAAGAATCAATCTAGGTGCATCTAACAGTTGTAAATAGACAATAACTAGAGGAAAAACAAAGAGAAAAGCATATATTTGAAATCTGTTTCAGTTTTTGGCTGGACAATAGCTGTCCTTTTCAGTGTTATTGATAGTACACTTGTGATCCTTTTGGGTTCTGATTTTGTTCTCTTTACGCTTACCTTTTCATTGCAGCTACATTTCAGGGAACATGTATATTTAGTAGCTATCGTAAGTTCTGCATGGCACCACCGGGCTATTTTTTTCCTGGAGAAGATAGGAATGAGCTTGTTGGAGCATAATTGCACTTGGAATGGAGGAACATATGCCAGGGAATGCAAGCAGGGGAGGGAAGGAAAATCTTAATTTGGGGCTGGATACTAAGTTTTCTGCAGGGGGAGGCTGTACCGGTCTGAGCAAGTAAGCAAAGGATTTGGGTAACCCAGCTAATTCTCAGTTGCCAGTTCTATTCTTTCCTTTTTATTGGATTGTTTGACTCTGTCAAACAAATGTCGGAGTTGTGTGTATTAAAAAAAAAAAAATCAAAACAGTGTTTTAAAAAAAAGTGTTGTAAAGACACTGAGCCTTATGAAAAATATTTATGGAGTTAAATAAAAAGAAATGAAAAGACATCTCCAGCATTTCTTCCTAAATAAATATGGCGGCCCAGATGTGTACATCCTTATGAATCAGATGTATGCCAAAGTGTTGTGTGAACTCCCTGTGTTGAGTCATTTCATGGGGTGGGGATGAAACAACATTTGTGCATTTATTCAGCAATGTTGATGCAACATCCAGGCATTACTCCTTGGCCGGACCCCCATTCAGATGATACATTAATGGCTGGAAGATGAATTTTTAGGATGCTAACCCTTGGGTGAGACATCTGATCAGGACCCTGATTTGCTGCAACATTTCCTGAGGGTTTTTTTTAAGTCTCCCCCTTTTGGGCCCACAAAGGAGTGGGTCAGTTTTGCACAACGTTGGTGCTGCGTCCTGCTGCCTGCGTTCTCTTCCTTCTCTCTCTTCCCCTTTGATCCTTTGAGCATTTCTCTTTATCACTCTTTTTGATCAAAAATGGCCCACATCCTTTGGGGGTTATTTTTGAAGGCATCGTGATGATACATGTGACATGACATCGATGTAAAGAAAATGGGGGGATACCAGCTGATGGGGAGATGAAATGACAAGTGATGACCTTGATGTCAAGGAAAGAGAAGCAACAGCAGCCCCAAAGGAGAGCAAAAAGTGAAAGGTGTCGCAAACCACAGAGTCGTCACAAATGTTGATTGAAGCCTGTTTCTGTATCATTTGCTTGGTTGTGGCAGGGATACAAAATGGGAGGCTGGCATGAAGAACAGAATGTATTGATTTAGCTACAACATTTACGCCCCTTTTATCAGCTTGAAAACTGCCAGAGGAGCTCACAGAATAATAACAAGACAATTGCTGTCCTCAAGTTTACACTCTTAAAAGCAATTCAACAGTATCTTCTTTAAAAAAAAATAAATTCCTAGCACACTTTTCAAATACATTTTTGCAGAGGATGGATATGCATGTCGATAACTGCATCAGCGATCATAACAGACTTCCAAAGGTGGGTTCCTCAGATCATCATACCAGTCCAGTTGCTTTGAAGTTTATTGTCCCCGATGAGTTTCCTCCATTACTCTCTGCATGAAGAGAGTAGGCAGATGGTGAAGGCGTCAATCTGTGCCAGGGTTCAAGGGTCCATTCAGCCATGGACCTCTTTGAGTGACTAAGGACCAGTATTGATTCACTATCTCATGACTAGTTGTGGATAAAATTAGGAGAGCTCCCTCTGCAGCCTTGAGCTCGCAAAGAAAAGGCAGGGTATTAGTGAAATAACAACAGGACCCGAGAGAAAAAGTGTTCATTCTAGATGGTCTACGCCTCTGCAGTTGATGAGTCATGACATGACAGAGGTGAAGATGCTGTCCTGATTTCTAAACAAACCCAAATGATGTGAAATTCGGCAAAGGAACTGGTGGAGTCTAAACCATTAAGTTATAAGAAATCCTGCCTTAATCAAGTTCTCCCCATTAGAGCATTCCCTGTGAGGGAACTGCTATTGGGCCAGCAGAGCGAAATGAATTATTACAACTTCATGCTAGTCCAAAGCACCCATCCATGGATGAAACCCAACTCAAAGTCTGCAGTTTCCCTACCCAAGTCATGGTTCTTCCACTCACCTTTCATGGTGACTGGAATTCTGTGTCAACTAGTACAACAGGATGGCTTGGTGGTTTAAGTCAGTAACTTATCTTCCCTAAAAGGCTGATGAACTTCTTCCATGACCTGCTGTTTGATATCTCCTTGAAATTAGGCTCTGCTTATAATCGTTAATTTTGAACCCTAAGGATTCTGCTGGTTTCAGTCAAACCGATGAAAGTCAGGAGGGGAAAAAATCAGCAAAGTCACAAGAACATCCCTCAGCAAAATATACATTAGAGATTGTGTGCAATTGTATTTATGATAATGGGAAGTAAAAATCAGGAATCTGATAGCCCCTTTTCCAACTCACACATTTTATTAAAAGGGAAAAGCTTTCGTGAGCTGTAGCTCACCTCATCAGTGACCTGATTGCTATCATAGTCTGATACGCTACACTACGCTACAAACTGACAGAGCTCTCTTCCTACAGGGTCAACGGTGGGAAATCCTAAAACTCTGTTCTGGGGAACATCGAGGTCCTGGGCAGAATTCGGTGCAATGGAACATTTATTTATTTATTTACTTAAGGTATTTCATTTGGCCATCTACAAAACATACCTGTGGCTTACAAATCATTAGATATTTAAATGGATTTTTAAAAACCCCATACAATTGTGCTTTGAAGAACCACAACAATCAAAACAGAGCCACAACACTGCAGTTTTTAGAGCGCTTACCTGTTGCAGAAACGATCAAAGAGAAGGTGCCAAGTGATGTTTTAGATACAACTCATGCACTGGATCTCTATGGTGGTGTATCCATGTGCTTTTGGAAAGTTCAAAAGTCGATAGCGGTATGGATGTGGGAAAGCGGGCCTTCCATTCAGAAATGTTTTAAGAAATGGAGAGTTATCAACGCGTCCATTCGTCTTTGGGAAAAAAGAAATAATTTGGAAATCCCAAGATATAGTAGCATCCGATACACGTTCTGAAAAGATTTCCTAAATACTTTGATTGTGTTCTTGCAGAGCATTGCAGCGCTTTAAGTCCTCGTTGTTTTATATCAGTTTAACTACAAAGTGCCCCTCTCTGAAAGGAACTTTAAAAGTTTTTTCCCAGAGTTCCTGAATAAAGGGATTATCATAACGCTCAGTGCTCACTGTTCGTTGCAATCATAGATCTCATTCTGTTGTGCACACCCTCAGTAGGTTTACTGTGTAAGCACTGCACTGGGTAAGGAAGAAATCTACGTTGCTGTTTCATGTATTGGAGGACTGTATAGAAAATAATTATGAAAGCAGGAGAGGTTTCTCACTTTCTAGCAAAGCATTTAAGGGCATCCAGAAATCAGTGAGATTTAATGACATTCTGGATTAAAACATGTTTGTTTCAGGCCTGTTCTTAAAAGGAAGAGCTCGGCTTAAATCAGTTTTTTTGAAAACCCTAATGAGCCTAGATTTCTATAGCAACTGACAAAAAAAATTACCAAATGTGTCACAAGTTCAGATTTCTGCAAACTAGGACGACATCATGCGAAAAGAGAGAAATGCAGATCCATTCAACCATCCAGGCCAACCCAGATCTGAAATTAAAGCAACTGGATGTGATATAAAGTGCAAGTGTCTTGAGAATACCCATCCTGCTTTTCTTCATTACATGTTACTTGTCATTTCCAGCAAATGACACCTTTGCACCAAGTTGATAGGAATTCGATACTGGTGATAATTTGGCCATTCATGACTGAAGCATAAATGGGCCATTATTTGGATGATCCTCCTCGCTTTCACTTTTTCAACCCCCACTGTCCCTTTCATGATGCCCCCAGGTTCTCCATGAATTCATCCTGGTTGGACTGATTCCCACCTGTTTCTGTAGTCAGGCTTTAGGGAGGCTCTGAGAGCATGAACATTAGTGAAGCAACATCAGTGACGCATGATCCTCATCATTTATAGACCAGTTTGATTGAATATAAAGGGTCTTCTTATTAGTAATGCATACTATTAATAGATGCTGTTTTCTTTAGCAAAACATGGCCGTTAATGCTTTAAGAAAACTCATAATATACTAGAAGGGACAAGGGGAAAAAATTTCATTAGATATAAGATTATAAGAGTTAAGTACGTATATGCATAGGTAGCTGATAGGAATTAGATAAAATTCTTTTAATTTTCAGGCTTCCCTAGGTTGTCAGAAAATGTCAAGAATATTTGACAAGTCTTTCAGACCTTTGGGACTACAAAGTGGGTGGAGAAGAGGCATCTGTAAAAGGGGGTTAGTGAAAAAAGTCAAGTTGTTGGTTCCCACTGTACAATCAAAGCTCTACTCCTTTGTACATGCATGTGATGTCAATACATATGCAAAAGAGCTTGGTATACAGTATGTGAACAATAACTTTGTACATGCACAGGGCTTCAATTGCATGGTTGCATCCACCATCCCACCCCCATGCTGTCAGGTTGGTGGAATGTCAGTCACAGCTGCTGACTGAACCATGAACACCAACTTTCCCCAGCCAGAAGTTCTTCCACTCTAATCTGAATTCCTCATCAGCATAGCATGGCAGGAGTTATGTTCAAATGAACAGGAAAGTCCTGGGTCAGGGTGGCTGATTAAGATTTTTTTGAAGAAAGGAGTAGACTTAGTCTCCTGATGTAATGGTATGTGGGAATGACCTTGAGGGACGAGGGGAAGAGATGCTGCCTAGGGAATGATCAGATAAAAGATGGAGGAGCCTGCAGCTGAATAATGGGAAAAGAAAGAAACTTAAAAAGGATCTGCCCTAATGCATCAGCCTGTTAAAAGTGACAGCAGGAGATTTGTACTTTCAGACTTGCAAGATTCCATTATTATAGCCTTCCAATAAAGTAGAATTAGCTCATCTGGTTGTGTTTCCTGTCTGGTTTATCTGGGAAGGCTGACACCCATCCATGAAAATCATTATCTTTTTGTCTCTTGCTTCCCTGAACCACCAGCCCGGACAACGATATGGTTCCATTTCCTTTACTTCCAGATACATTTTATCCCTCTCTCCTGTTTTTTAAAAAAGTCTACAGCATGAAACTGCCCTGACTGCACTTCTGGATAACCTTTGGTGAGACTGTTCAGGGGAATGCCACCCTCCTGGTCCTCCTTGATCTCTCACAGCTTTCTGTATCATGGTATCCTTCTGGACTGACTCCCTGGGATTGGAGGGAGGAACACTGTTCTTCAATGCTTCTCCTTCCTAAGGGGCTGGTTCCAGTCATTGTCAATGGGGGGAGACCTTCCCACAGATCTCTACTTTGTGGCATGCCACAGGGGCTCTCTGTTTTCGCTACTCTTCTTTACATGAAACCACTAGGGAAGGCATGGGATCAGGTATCATCAGTATGCTGAAGATACCCAGATAGACATCTTAGCTGTGGGTCAAACAGG